GAATTCTTCATTTATTTAACAAATATTTATGAAGCCCCTACTATGTGCCAGGCCCTGGGTGAAGCACTGGGACTCAGCAGAGAACACACGTGGACCCTCCCTTCAGGTGTTCACGGCTCCACTGAGGAGGTGACTGGTGTCCGTGTGTCATGAGCACCCTCACCAACCATGCTCCCGGGGACTGTCCCAACCCCGAAAACAGAAAGCTCCTTGTGGGCAGGAGCTCTGCCTCCCCATCAGACTGGGATTTCTCCAGGATCTGGTTGTGACACCCACACCAGGTGGGGGCTCTCATGGTCTATAAAACCTGCTGTCCCTAAGAAATGCCTCCACTCTTAGCGCCTCCCCAGATACGGCTGCCAGAGAAAATACATGCTACCCAATTAAACTTGAATTTCAGATAAACAAGGGATGACTTTTAGTTTAAGTACATCCCAAATATTGCATGAGGTATACTTAAATTAAAAATCATCCCTTGTTTATCTGAAATTCAGATTTAACTGGGCTCCATGTGTTTCTACTTGCTAAATCTGGCAACCCTACCCCTGGAGCTCATTCCTTCTGTTAGCACCTGGCCTGGCCGGATGGCCCAGGTCGTGCCTGGACACAGTGCCTGCCAGCACAGTTACAGCTCCTGTTGGTCCCCAGGACTGCTGTCCTTTGCCACTGGGCCCCATCTGCAGCTCCAGTTCCCAGGTGGACACCTGCTCCCCACCTGGCCTGCACAGTCCAGCCTACAAGCTGTCAGGAATGCTGCTGGGGTCTCCTGCATGATGGACCCAGAGAGAGGGGGACAGAGTCATAGCTGCAGAGAGGGACCTTAAGATCAGAAGCAGGACACAGAGGTAAAGGGACAGAGAGTGAGCAGATGGAGACAGCATTAGAGTCAAGACAAAGAGAGACAAAGAGCTTAAGGCCCCCTGCCCAGAACTGCTTCAGGGAGGCCAGTGCAGAGGTAGAGGGTCCTGAGAGCCCACCAGGATTCTCTCTGAGTGGACCAGGGCAGAGGCTGGGCCCCTGAGCCCCAGTATTGGACCAGGGCTCTGGGCCCTGGATTGGCAGGTCCTGGGAGGCAGCTTGGGGTCTCCTGCACTGGCTGTCAGGGGTGGGAGTCCTCCCCAGCCCCTGCTGCTCTCCCCTCGCCCTGCCTCCCAGGGGCAAACACAGGGACATTCATGGCTTCCCAGAAGGGCCCATGGGGCAGCCAGAGTGGCTTTTAAAATTAGCTTCGCTAACCAGATCTGGTTATTTCAGGAGGCTCCGTCCCTGGCTGTCCCCTTGGCAGGGCGGGTGCAGGGAAGGAGGGAGGGACCTCCACATTCCAGGGTCCCTGGTTAAGTACCCCCTGTGGCCTGAGCAGCAGAGAACACCCAGGTCCCAGTCCCCTGGCACTGGGCGGGCCTGAGCCTGCGGCCGTCTCTTTGGCAAAGTTGTCCCAGGGTTAGCTGTGAATGTGCAGGGACACCCCAGCTGCTGAGGGGCAGGGAGGACCCCTCCTGCTGGGCATGGGGTCTATGCCAGGTCCCTTAGAGGCTATGGCAGCCTCTTCACAGTAGCAGGTAGGACTTTGTTCCCGTTTCGCAGGTGAGGAAACTGAGACCTGGAGAGACAGGTCCCAGCTCCGAGGCAGGGATAATGTGGATGTCGGGTCAGCCAGGCGCCCAAGTGCCTCCACGAAGGCCTTTCGCCTCCTGTGTCTGGAGAAACCTCTGGCTGCCATTTCCACCACCAGAGTTATTTCTAAGCAGAGTCCAGAGCTTCCTGGAGCCCAGTGCCCCCCGCCCAAGCCCTAATTTCAGCCTCGGGTCCGTGTCCTGGCTCGCCCTCCCCACCTCAGAACCCAGGACGAGCACGGGGCTGGCGTCGGCACAAAAGAAACAGTGCTGGATACTTTGATCCCAGAGGCCAGATTCATCCTCAGCCTCCCCCTTGGAGCCTGGAGGGGTGGTGTGGGGGCCCAGGCTGAAACCCAGCCCAGAGGCTGGCCCTTCCGGCTGCTGGGGACTGGCAGCGCCTGGGCAGACTGAGGGGCAAAGGCAGGTTCTGCTCATCAAGCTGCCCCCTGCTTCTGCTGTAGCTCAGCTGCGGGCCAGAGCTGTGGGTTGGACCACATCATAAAAGTAAAAGGACGTAAGTGGGGGTGCCTGAACTCTTTTCTAAAAGCATCATCAACCCCAGTAAAGCCTGGGAAGCTGAGGCTCAGGGAAGCAACTGATAATCATACATCCCCAAAGCCTCTGATCCAGACATCTGTGCTGGCCCAGCACCGGCTACTCCACTTTCCAAGCAGAGCTGATTCCACATCCTCTGATGTGGGCTGTGGAGATGGTCCTTATGAATGGCTAATTGCACCCCACACGCCCCACACACAACACACACACAACACACACACTGTTTTTTGAACCCACTGTGTGCTAGGGCTACACCAAGAACCTTACCAGGTATCACCTTATTGAATCCTTACATCAGGATACCAAGGGCAAGACATTCCCCCTACACAGATGAAGAGACTGAGGCCCAGGGAGCCAAAATCATGTGACCAAAGTCACAGAGCTAGGAGGTGAACAAACTCAGAGCTAAGCTCTTACTTGGTCTTGGTGCTCAACTGTGGCTACTGGCCCTTTGGTGGTGGATGGGAGGAGAAGGGCAACAGACCGAGGCAGAGAGTGCTGAAGAGCCAGATCTCCAGGGATTAGAGAACAGGCCCAGGAGGGGAGGGGGCACGGTTAGCAGGGGACCCACTGAGACCAGAGCCACGCCCAGGTGGGCGGGGTTGGGGAGCGGATGTGAGTCACTACCCCAGGTGGTCCCAGATACCACCTGAGGGTCACAGCAGAGCCCCATCAAGAGACCCTGTGGGTGCACTCAGCATCGTCCTGGGGAGGGTATGGTGGCTGGTGGTGGGGAGTGGGTGAGGCCAAGGGATGGTAAGTCCCACTGGAACCCAATTCTGTGCCTGCCCCCAAGCCCAAAATCCCTCAACCTGCTCCTACCTTAGGGGAGACCCCCATTCACCCCAAACTCAGGTGGACCCCTGAGAGACTCCTCAGTTCCTCCCTCAGCCCCACATCTCATCAGGCCCTTAGTCCAGATGCTCAGGCCTCCCAACACCTTCTAGACCTGCCCACTGTCCTCCTGGCTGCCCTCTGCTCTCTGTCCCCAGCAACAGCTCTCCTCCTTGGTCCTCCCTTCCCTGGGCTGACACTGCCAGTCTTCACCAGCAGCCCACACTTGTCTTCTAACGGTGCTCCCTGTTTTGTATCCTCCATGTCTCCCTACTGCCCTCAGCCCCTTGGTCTGGTACTCAAAGCCACGTGGCCTCTGGCCTCATCTCTGCCCATCTCCCTGTTTCCTCCATCAACACCTTCCCATCATTCAAAACTGCTTGCTCCCTTCCCAACTGCAAGCAGCACCCTCTCGCTTCAGTACCTTTGCTCCTATACCTCCCTCCTCAGGGACACTATCCTAAGCCTTTCCAGGATGCTCAGGCACCAGTGCTCTGGAGTCTTCCCATTCCTCCTTCACCCAGGCTGCGCCCCATGCCCGTGCCCCTATCCCCCCGAGGCACTCATCACCCTTCATTTTAACTGCCCTGCACCCGGTGCTGCTTCCACAGCTGGACAGACTGGTCCCCATCTCCCCGCCCCGTCAGTCTGGGTAAGCAATCCCCTGGCGCCCCCTGGTGGCCACCTAGGGGAAACCCTTGGGCTTCACTGAGTAAGAGAAAGGAGAGGAAAGTGGATCCTTGAGCACCCACTGGGCACCAGATGCGTAAGGTGTTTCATATGCACCAGCTCAATGAATCCCCAGGAAAAACCCTTGGGAGAAGCTCCCGTTTTACAGAAGTGGAAACAGGCTCAGGGAAGGTTGTAAGTTTCTCAGTGCCACCTGGATAGTAAGAGACTCCAATCCAGGTCTGCCTGACTTCAAAGCCCCGGTCTTCCCTCTGTGCAGAGGAGAACAAGGAGGGGCAAAGGGCCGCGCCATGGGGAGGAGGCCACAGCTGGTGGACACGGAGCCCGTGGTTTGGCCTTGGAGGTGCCCCCAAACCCAGCAGTCCTGATCAAGGGGGTGGATAGGCTCTTCCCCTCAACCCTGGAGCCACTGAGATCTGTCTGGGGTTGATCCGGGTAGGGTCACACGAAGCCAGGTCCAATCCGGGGTACAATAGTGATAAATAGAATTTATTTTGTACAACTGTTACTGACATACACACGGCCACGGGGGACTTCCAAAATAGGTGTTGGGGCCGGAGGGCTGGCCTTTGGCGTGGCGCCTAAAAAGTGTGGACAGACACACACGAGGATGTGGACTCACAGCAGCTGTGCCTGGCTGCCCCTTCCATGGAGGGTGGGGGTGGCGCAAAGGTGAGGCCCATAACTCTAGGCCAGCTGAGACCCCTTGGCCTGGAGTGCCCAGGAGCATGGGATGGCAGGGGTTAAGCTAGGTGCTGGCTGAGGAGCCAGGTATGTCCCCCCTTCCCCCACTAGGGGGTCACTTGTCTGTCACGTGGAGGCAGTGCACAGGGCAGTGGCAGATCTGAGGGTCCAGGAGGGGCGACAGGCACAGCCAGCTCCCTGCCCCTCAGACCACCTGGGGCCCCAGGAACCCCAACAAGCAGGGTGGGGTGATGGGAGACCCCTGGGGGCACAACCCTCCATTCTGGGGCAGGTGCCCAGAATCACAGTCTTTAGTGACCTCTGAAATAATCTCGTCCCTTTGTAGCAGACGCGCCCAGAGAGGGAGAGTGATTTGCCCAGGGTCACAGAGCAGAACCCAAATCAAAAGCTAGGACTTAGGACTCGCAGTCCAGTGCTCATTCTACCACACCTCACACCCACTGCCTCCATAGCAGGCTCTGTATGCACTGAGATGTCTCAATCTCCCCTTCCACCTCCCTCCCACTAAGTCCAGAGGGGCACCCAGGGGTGATGGGAGGCTTAGGGTCAGGGTGAGCCAGGCCTGGAGTCCTGTTTCAACAGATCACTCCCTGCCCCAGCCAGGCCCCCCAGCCCAGGGGGTGGGGATGGTGCCAGCAGCTTCCCCGCTCCCAGGTCTGGACGGCTCCGCCCTGCAGAGACAGTGTAGACTGTGGGCCAAGAGGAGGGTTGGGGAGGCAGAGGGCAGCCCACAGGCTGGTGCTGGCCTCGGGGCGGAGGTCCTGTCTGCCTGGATTTGACACGGCATCTTCACATTGTGCTTCTGTGGCCTCATCTGCAGGGTAAAGGGAGATGGAGGCAGGCAAATAGATGTGGGAGGGGCCCGCCCTTGGAGTTCCAGGCTCTGGGTCTTTCCAACCCACTGGGAACCCCCCAGACCCCTCCCTCCCAACAATTCCCAACTTCCTTTCAGGCTGCCATCAAATCCTCTCAGCAACTCATGGGCAGAGCTGAGACAGCATCTATTAGCCCTGTTGTACAGATAAGAAAATTGAGGCCCAGGGTCACCTAGCAACTGAGTGGCAGAGGAGTCAAACCGAGATACATAGCTCTCATCCCAGAGACATGACAGAGGAAGAGAGAGAAGTTGGCCCACCCCCTGCCCACCTCCACCCTCTCCCCACCAAACAGGAGCTGAGGGCTGGGACTGACCTGCTCAGTGTCACCTTCAAGGGGCAGCCTGGCTAACAGCCCTGCACAGGCAGAGAACATCGACAAGGCAGGTGATAGAGCAGAGGACATGGGCGACAGGCAAACAGAAGTCACTGGCTGTGCCCAGGCTGGATGAGCCCAACCCCTCCAGGCTTAGGGAAACCCCTTAGTCCAGCCTCAACCCTGGGGATCCCTGGTCCCCTTGATGCCTCTCCCCAACAGCCAACCCCCTCTCAGGTGGGGCTCCACACAGGACCAGCATCCAAGCCATCTGTCCCCACCCCAGCCAGGCCCTTGGTGGCTGCACCTACCAGCTGGGACATGTGCTGTTCAGATGCTTCCAGCTGGATCTTGATCTCGGGACATGCAGGGTCCCCCAACTTGCCGCCGTCTGGGTGGGGTGACCGAGAGGGTCCTGGGGAGGGAGGCAGGAGGGAGCCACCTCACTGGCCGCGGGGAGGCACCAGGGAGATGGGGGCATGGTTGGGCGGTCGGTACGAGTGCTCCCCTACCCGCCCAGCCCCTCCCTCAGGAAATCCCACCCGTAACACCCTTCTTTACACCTCCCCTCATCATCCTCCAAGACCTTACCAGAAGCCACCAGCCCGCCAAGCCACCTAACCACCTTAGGCTGGATAGAGACCAGCCCACTGTCCCCCATGTCAGGGGCAGTCCCATTACATGCCCACCACCCAGGGTATGAGAACTGGTCTCAACCCTCTGTGCCCAGCCCTGTCCCTCACCCCACCACACAAGTGGCCCTGCTTGTGGCAGGGAAGCAGCCCCGGGCCCAGTACCTGGGGAGCTGCCCCCGCTTGTGGTGCTGACACTGTCCTCTAGCCACGTGCTATAGATGAATGAGTCCCGCTTGTGGGGTGTCCCTGAGGATGAGACACTTTCCTGGGGATGGGGAAGGAGATAAAGAGGGAAGTCAGCCCTCATCCCCCTCTCCCCTCCCCACCCCTACTGCAATCCACAACCCCCACCCAGGCCCCCCTGCAAAGAGGATGAAGACCACAGGAGACCAGACCTGGGCACACACACACACTCCCATTCATTAATTCAACATTCACTGATGTTTTCATGGGCCAAGGCACCAAGAGAAATCAGGCAGTGTCCTGGCCCTAGAGGAAAGACAGGCTGAGAAGAGACTAATATAATTCTAGAACCTAAGCCCCATGGGGCAGGGCCTTGGTCTGCACTGTCCCCTCTGCATGTGCAGCAACTGCCACAGGGCCTGGCATGGAACAGTGCCCACTGAAGGACTGGTGAATACAGAATGACAAAAAGGTGTGAAGGATGGAGCCCAGGGTCCCCAGTGGGGGACTGGGGACTGCAAAGGAGGGCATTATGGCTGAAATGGTAAGAGATGAGGCTGGGGACGGAGGGACTAGATCTTCAATGGTCTCAGAGATTGGTCTGTGGGAGGTACTGGGGAGCCATGGAAGGTTTCAGAGTGAGGGACAGTTAGCCCACATTATTCCTTTGGGCTGGGTTCCCTGATCACAACTCAGCCACACCCAGATTCATGTCTCTACCCAGAGCATCTCCACAGACTGGACAGTCCCCCCACTTCAGCCTGTTGTGGGCACCTCCACTCCCTGGGACTCTCACCAGGCCTGTATCGTCCCCGTCCACACCCTCCGCTTCCTCCACGACGCTGGCAAAGCTGCTGGCACTGGACGAGGAGCGGGAGAAGTCCTTCAACACTTCTGCTCTTTGAGCTGCTGTCTCCGCTCTGCCGCAGACAGCACCCCATCAGCCAGCATCCACACCGGGCACCTCCCGAGCCAAGGCCGCATGCCCCTGCCCTCCCGGCCCAGCCCGCAGCCAGCCAAGCACCTTTGTGTCCCCTTACAGCTCCCTGGGCCTCTGAGCCTCCCAGATGCCACTGTCCTTCCTAACACATGGATCCCATCCTGCCCCTTCCCTTCTCAATACCCTCTCCTGGCTTCCCACTGCCCCAGATAAAGTCCAATTTCCTTGGATGGATGTTCAGTCTTAACTATGAACAATAAGGCTGTCATTTAGTGCATGTTTGCTCTGTGCCACCCACTGTGTTAAATGCTTTTACTTGATTTATCTTATTGCTATCATTATTAGACCTATTTTACAGGTGAGCAAACATCAAGGTACAGAGAGGGTGGCCACATAGCCCGAGGTCACCCAGCCATTGCTGGGGAACAGGTAGGACCAAGGCCTTTCAACTCCACAGTCTACTCTCTTAACTCTCTCACAATTTTGCTCCATGCTCAGGGACTTGGTGTCTGATGCCTGGAGTCTCACTCCTTCCCTCAAATTCCAAAAAGCAAATTCACCTTTCTAAAACCAGCCAGGATTCCTGATTCCTCCTCACTGTGGGAATAATCCTGTCCTCTCAGCTTTCTCTCTCCTAGTCCCTGTTGCCCTTTCCTACTTCTCTGTTCACCTGCCTGACTCTTCAGGCCAGGCTGGGTCCTCTCAACATCCCACCCCTCCCCAGCCCACATCCCCTGAAGCCAACATAGAAGGGGCTCAGCCAGGAGCACGGAATGGAGGGGAGCCTCCAGGCTGGCTTTTTAAAGCATCACTCCCCTTAACTAAAATCTTCCAAAGGCTCCTTGTCACGCTTAGAATAAAATTCAAAGTCCTCACATGGTCTCCAAAGCCGTGATCTCACCCCTGCCCACCTCTCCGACCTCATCCTCACCGCCAGCATTGCAATGTCCACCTGGGCCCAACCTCACTCACTCGGTTCCAGCTGCACTGCCCTCTTTCTATCCTTCAACATGCCTCAGGGCCTTTGCACTTGCTGTGCTTCTTACCTGGAACCCTCTTGCCTCTGCTGTGCCAGTCCTAACATGGCTGACTCCGCACTCAGCTCTCAATTCAAACCTCACCCCTTGGGAGACATCTTCCCTGAGCACCACCTAACCCCCTGCCCATCCGATCACTCTTCATCACATCTTCTGCTTTACTTTCCTCCTATTATCACTATCTAGAAATAGCTCATGAGGTTATGTTACACTGGACAATCAGCTCTGGGAGGCAGGGGCTGTGGATGTCCGGCTGACTGCTGTGTTGCAGAGCTTGGCATGCACAAAGCGCTCAGCAAGTGTGCATCAAAGGAGAACTCAAGAGAGGGCCCAGGCCTCCCTGCTGCCCTGGTGTGGCCGTGTCAACACTCCCGGGCAGCCCCAGGCCCGGACAGGGGGTAGAGAGAATAGACCGCCACACCCAAGCCCGCCAGCTCAGCATGCCCCAAGCCCCAACCTGTTTTTGGTCGTGGGCATCTCTGGGGAGCTCTGAGTGGATGAGTTCTCCGACTTGGGCTCCTGTGAGACGTGCCCGCTGTCTGGAGTCTTCTGGCCAGCCGGGGGGCTCTCCCTGCGGGGCACACAAGGGCAGTGGGGGGATTCAGCACTGGGCCTGGCATCAAGGGTAGAATGAGGCCCAGGTGGTGAGAGGAGGTCATGGGTGCCTCCTGCCTCGTACCCATACCCTGTATCTTTAGGGGCCAACCCTAGAGCAGTTCCTGCGGCTCACTGGCTGTCCTGGCCAAGGAGAGGGACAGGAACGGCAGGAGCAGCTACTTAAGACAGGACAGTCCCCATGTCCTCCTCCCCATAAATGGGGGTACAACTATACCCTGTTATAGATAAGGAAACTGGAGTCTAGAGATGGGAAGGAACCTGTCCTGGGATGCACAGCTAGGACATGGCAAAGCTAAGACTGGAACCCTGGAGGCATGGGATTCTGGGCTCTTGTGCCTGTGAGGACAGTGCCAGCTCCAATCCTGAGGCCTCAGTGCACCTGCCACCCCGCCTCGCATGCACTGCAACACACCCCCGCAGCAGCCCCATGCCATTGGTTGTGCTCTTTTCCGCATTTTTCAGATTGGGACAGTAAGGCTCAGAGAGGTACAGTAACTTCCCCAAGGTCACATAGCCCCAATGTAGTCAAGACAGAATTCACACCCAGCAACTATCTTCAGCATCCCAGAGGCTCCCTGTTGCTAATATGGAGCAATATCCACACCCTGCCCACACTTACAGACCTCCATAGACCAGGTCTTAAGTCCTAGCTCTTCCTCTCACCAGCTGTGTGACCTGGGCAGGCCCCTGACCCCTCTGACCTACAGCTCCTTGATGTGCAAGATGTGACCCCAAGGAGCCAGCAGAACTGGGAATGGATGAAAGCGGTTCACATTAGGTGACCAGCTGGCCCTGGTGCTGGGCACACAGCAGGGACTTGACTGTACAGCTGTCACCGGTGGGGACAGAGGGGCAGAAGGGCGGGCACGCCCTCTTGCCTGCTTTGCTTTGCCCCTGAGTGGGGGTCAGGGAGGGAGCCAGAGCAGACGCAGGCCCCTCCTGCCCACTCTGCTCCACCCACCTTTTCTCCTGCACCTCCTGTATGTTCTCGATGCCGATGGCACTGCTGCGGCGTGAGCCGAATGGGCCCGACTTCTTCCTCGTAGGGCTCTTCCCAGGGACAATCAGTGACTGTGGGGAGAGGCTCCAACTCAGTACCCACCTGCCCCAGGAGCCCGGGACCCACCCCACGCCACCCTGGGGCCCTGCTGCCCCAGGCCCTGAAGCAGAGACAATGAGCAAGAAAAACGAGAGAGCTGTCCATCTCCAGAGATAGCCGTCCAAGTTTACAGATAAGGAAATAGACCCAGCGAGGGCAAAGGGCCCCCTGAAATTACACAGGAGGTCTGGACCCGTGAGCTCAGTCCAGGAGAAGGGCAGAGGCCTGAGAGGGCTGGACAGCGGCTCTGGGCTGGGATGGGAGGAGACAAGTCCTCAGAATGGCTGCCCCTCTCCGCCCCCAGGGCTTCATGGGACCTGCAGCCTAAGGGCAGTGGGGAGAGTGGATGAAGCAACCCAAGCCCCTGCCCCATGCCAGCCCTGCCCCACCTCGGAATCTCCAAGCAGGCTAGGGGAAGTTCTGGCCCAGCAGTGGAAAGACACCCCTCAGTTTCCACACATACGAGCATGGGATGAGCATGCCCCCAGCTACTCTGGGGAGGCAGGAAGGTGGGCCCCAGGGAGGCATGAAGGGGCAGGAACCCCCAGGCCAGTTCATGGTTGGGACGGGGTTAGGGCTGAGAAGAGCGATGGCGTTCCATGCAGAACCGGCGATATTGGGGGACGTGCGGCTGGGCATAGGTTCTTTGGGTACCAGATCCTGGCAGGGACTGGGCCAGAGTCCCAGGGGCCAGGGGAGGGCCAGAAGCCTCGGGTGGGGGGCACTGGCTCTGGCACAGGTACCAGGCCCCAAGGCAGGTGCTGAGTGCCATCAGAGCTGCTGGCACTCCATCCTGCACGCCCTCGGCCTGTCCCGGGGGAAGTGGGGCAACGTCCCCAATATGGCCTCCATCCTGAGAGCGGGCAGAACAGCGCGTGCAGGCAGCCTCCAGAGCCGGCAGCCCCGCGGACGACAACCTCTTCCACGGTTCCTATGCCTATGGCACTGCCCCGGCGTCCGAATCTACTCGCACTTTTCCCAGGAATAAGCAATGACTGGCAAGCAGCAGAGGGCGGGGGGTAGAGAGAGAAAGACAGAGAGTCAGAGAGAGACAGAGATGGCGGGAGGGCGAGACACGGAGAGGTGAGGAAGGGAAGAGGGAAAGACAGAGAGAAACAAAGAAGCGAGTGGGCAGGGGGTTGTAAGGCCAAGGCCAAGGGAGGGAAGGAGCGGAGACACATGGAGAACACAGGAGAGAGATCGACAGTCACCCGAGAAGTGAAAAACGGACAGACACAGAGATGGACCCGGGGGTGAGATGGACAGAGAGCAGTGGGAAAGAGGAGAGGGAGTAAAAGGCAGGTGCAAGAGGAGAGAATCCACAGGTGCAAGAAGGCCGAGAGGGGCCAAGGGGAAGAGGAGGGGCAGAAAGAAAGGGAAAGAAAAACAAGGGAAGAGGAGAGAGTGGAAGGAAAAGGAAGCAACAGGAAGAGAGGGGAGAGTTGTGCAAAAACAAAAACAGAAATGGGTCTGGTTACTGCCATGGTGGGTGCTGCTGGTCTGGCCCTGTCCCTGGGGCCCCTCTACAGCCACCCACAGGAGGCTGGGCCATTCTGGTCAGGAAGGGAGTGGCTGGTGGAATCGGGGTTGGGGAGAGTGGGTCCGATTCTCCAGTGACAGTGGGCTTGGTGACTGTTGGAAAACAGAGGACTCGCCTTGCTCCCCTGGCCAGGCCAGACCATGGGGCAGGGATGGGAGTTGGGGGGGGGTCCCTCTTGCCACGTGACATAGCTTCACAGCACTGAGCACAGGGCTTGCTTGGCATGCAGCAGACAGTCCATAAATGATAGACAGATGGATGGACGAATGGATGGACGGATGGATGGATGGGCGGGTGGATGGGTGAGTGAATGGAGTGAAGGATAGATGGATGGGTGGATGGGTGGATGGAAGGAAGAAAAAATGGATGGGAAAGGGGCAGCAGAGCAGCAGGTGCAGTGCTGGGGGGTGGCCACTGGGCAGTGGAAAGCAGATAGGCCCACAGCTGAAGGCTTTATTCATCCTGTGTGCCCGGCACATCCTCTTAGTATTAAGAACAGAATCCCACAGAGCCTGGCAGACAGTAAGTAATCACACAGTAGGTGCTCACTCAGGAGAGGCTCACACAGAAGTTCAGTTCCTGACACACGATAGATAGCCACAACCACAGAGGCCCTGGCACACAGTAGGTGCTCACACAGCTCATTTTCTGACACAAAGTGAGTATTTGCTAGCATCCAGGGCTTTTCACAGCCGTCCACTTCCTGACACATAACAGGTTCTCACACAGCAGCTCAGGGTTGGGTACACAGCAGACACTTACAGAGTCAGATCCACGCAGTAACCCAGGACCTGACACACAATAGGTGCTCACAGAAACTCGGGGCCAGGCCCACAGTAGGTGCTCACAAAGTGCATGTCCACACAGCAACCCGGGTCCTAATACACAGTAGGTGCTCACACAGCAGCCCAAGTCTGGACACACAGTGGTACCCACCAGCATCTCAGAGCCAGGCACAAGGCAGATGCTCACACAGAAATCCAGGTCCTGACACACAGTGCGTGCCCACAGCCTGACACACAGTAGGTGCTCCCAGAAACTCAAGGCTTGACAGGAGATGCCCATACAGCAGCCCAATTCCCAGCATATGACAGACAGTAGGTGCTCCATAAGGAAAGTGATACAGAGGCTGCCCCAGTGCTGACACGCAGAATGTCACAGCTGAATAAGGGGACAGGAGGAGGGGCGGACCAAGGAGCTGGGGAGGGGGCTACAGGCCCTCAGCACCCCAGTGTCGTGGCTTGGGCACCTGACCCCATGGAGAGCAGTGGCTTGACCCAGTCTAGAGCCCAGGATGGGTCCTCAGACAGGAGGGCAGTGGCGGAAGGTGGGGCCAGGCTTTGGAGGCAGGGGAGAGCTGGGGCCCCCGGGGGAAGGCACTCACTATTCCAGCCGCCTTGGCCAGGTCGGGGTTGTTGGGTGTGAAGCTCCCGCTGTGGCTGGTGGATACAGTGTTGGGCTTCTTGTTGCTTAGCCCCATGGCATCCATGGACTGGCTGCGGCTCCGGATGACCCGCTGTGAAAGTGGCAGAGGGGGTTTCATAAGGCCCCACCTCCTGGGGAAACCCAGGAGCCACCACAGCCACTATAGATGACCCCAGGAAGTCCCTTCCCATGGGGCCACTCAAGAGTCAGGTCTATATGGTGCTAAGGGTGGTGTGGGCCTTGGCTCTGCCAGCAGCTTGCTCAGTGACCTTGGACAAGCCACTTCACCCCTCTGACCCTCTGGGCCTAATGATGTCTCGTGTGGTTGTTGTAAGAACTACAGAAGGTACTGGGTCGTGACAAAAAGTGTGCATAGAGAGCCCTGCAGAAACCTGCTTCTTCCTTTAGGGTCTCCCTTCTCTCACTCCTCCCTTGATTTTTTCAGTCAGTCTGCACTGAAGGCTCACTCTGGGGCCGGGTCCTCCACCTGTGCTCTCACTCACTCCGCCCCGGGAGGCGGGCACTGTTGCCACACCCATTTTACACATGATGAAACTGACGCAGAAGTGAGTCTGGAACCCAGACACCAAACCCTTAACTGTGGGCTCCACTGCCTCTGAGAAAGTCTGTGACCTAATCCAGCTCCACCATCCAGCACTCACCAGATGTGGGGCCACTGGAGTCCTCCCTCAGAGAAGACACCGTAGACCCATGTTCACCCCACCCACCCACTGTCTCCACTGGGCAGAGGCAGGGCTCTCCTCAGGTCTCTTTCTCAAAGACAGTCTGTTCACCTCAGCCAAGTGCAGGCCTGGGCAGCTGGGCTAATCCTCTTATGCAAACCCACATCTCCAGCTTTGTGGCCTGCCCTGGGGTAAAGGTGAGGCCTCGCCAGCCTGGCTGGGCACCTGGAGGATGGGCAGTCCTCCTCCTGTGGGTGGAGGACACGGTGGCAGAGGCCGCTGCCTGGGGACCTGCAGCCTGGGGGAGTCCGGGCCCTTTGGGAGGAAGAGGAATTCCCTTGTCATCTGCCTCTCACTTTGGATAGTAGTTGCTGAAGGCAGATGTGCAGCATTTTGCATTTTGCTTCCTAACTTACATTACACTAATCTAGTTGCTTTACAAATAATTTTGAACAATTATATGAGGTGAGTTGCCATTATCCCAAACAACAGAAAAAGAAACTGAGGCTCAGAGAATGCTCAAGCTGGTAAGTGGCAGAGTTGGGATTTGAACCCAGAATGTCTGTGCTTTTAATACTATGCTAAACCAGAGACAGCCAGGTGGGTCACATGGGCCTAAGTTCACACAGGCCAGGTCCCTCTCCTATGGCCACTAGGCTCACGTCCCTTCCCGGATCTGTTTCTTTCTCTCAATCAGGCCTCCTCCTCTTTTCTTCACCTGCTGACCTGGCAGCTGTCACCCTTGATATTAGAGTTACCTCCATGCCCCCGTAAAGGCTCCAACCTTCAGAACTCCCAGGCCGACTCCACCCCCAAGTTTAGGCCCCACCTCCAACCATCAACTCCTCCCCAAGCCACAGCCCACCTTACAACTCCCAACCTCCGGCTCTATTCCAGGAGCAGACAGTACCTCCGCGCCTAAGCCCCACCCTAAAGGCTAGGTCTACCCTGAGGCTCGCCACCACCCAGACACTACCCCAGCTACCTGCCCACCTAGCCTGTGCTCACACCTATTAACTCCACCCCGAGCCACTCCCCCATCCGACTCCATCTCCAATGCCAGCTCGCCTCTAGCCACCGCCCACCTCTCATCTATAACTCCACCCCTGATTCCACCCCAACCACATCCCTGCCTCTCTGTGCCCAGGTAGACTACCCTGCCCTTCACCTTGAAAGACTCGAAGAAGCCGCCGCCCCCACCACCATTCTCCATCTTGTCCTCGTCGCCACCCAGGCCCATCATGGACTGGCTGTGGATGTGTAGCTCCTCATAGAGCGTCTCCAGAAGGGCAGCCCGTGTCCGCTCCTGTGGGCCAGGCCGGGGAGTCAGGAGAGACCCCCCCAGGGATCAGCCCTTCTTCCCACATCTAGAATCCCGGCTCCTTCTCTGAGTGAGTGGGGAGTGGACCTGGGCCCCGAAGCCTACGCCAGCTTCCCTTGAGCCCCTCGGCAGCTCAAGCAGCCCCCAGGGCTCAAGAGGCCCCTCTAAGATCTGGCTTCATGTCCACACCCCCAGTTTTCCCCCTCCTCCACAGCATCCTGTGTGTCTGCCTGCCTACCTCTGAGCCCCTCCTGGGCATTCCTTATGAATCCTTATTTCCTCTCCCTTGATCCTAGTCCTGCTCATCCATAAATCCATCTTCCCCTGGAGGGCCCCCTCTAAGGCCAAGGTCTGAACATGGCTTGTCATTCCTCAGGGGCAGGGCGGGAATTCTGGGGGGACGGGCAGCTCAGCCCCAAGAGCCCATCCTCACCTCCAGTTTGGCAAACTTCTCTGCCTTGTAGCAAGCATATTCAGCATTGATCAGTTTTGTCAGCAAAAATTCCTGGAACTCAGGCCCCTGGGAGCCCCCAGTGTGGAGGAGAAGAGAAAGGGAGGGTCAGGCAAACACAGAGAGGAGGGGCTGAGCCCTGATGATGAGTCGGGGGCAGGGGCTCCTGAGGCACCCCTGCTGGGCTCTGGGGCTACCCTCTTCACTCCCAGAAGGGATCTCCTTGGGCTCAGCTCCCCAGCCCAGGCACCCATGAGCCCCTAGTGCCCTTCATGGCTGCCCACCCCTCAGGAGAGTTGGGTTGGGGTCTCCTACTGCCTCTATCTGGGGGATGGGGGGAGGGGCTGAAGCCAAAGCTCAAAGTGGGCTTCTGAGAGGTGAGAGAGATGTGTGCCCCCCTCCCCAAACACTTTAGAAGAAGACTGGAACTGTCAAAAAGGTAATGGAAATGAGGAAAGGCCACAGACTCTGCTGTGCAAAATATAAAACGATACAGTTTGCCCTGTGACATTGTAAATAAAGGTCATATTTTTTATCAAGATGAACAGAAAAACCAGGCCTGAGCTACATGGTTTGGGGGGCCCAGCTGCCCTGGCACACAGTAGGGCTTCAGGACCTCATGTAGCAGAATGTGCACCCCCCGGCCCCCTCCCTCTTAGTCCTGCTCTGCCCATGATGGGGCTGGGGGCTGACCCTCACCTTTCTGAACACAGCGGGGTCTGGGAGGGGTGGCCCAAAGAAGGGAACGTCATCTCGTGCAGTGACGGACACCTGGAAGAGAGAGCAGCTGTCCTGTGGATCCCCACACCAGCCAGAAACCCCTAATTCACCTTGCTATCCTGCTCCATGCTGGGCCCCGGGTTGCCTCTTGGCGGGGGAGGTTCAGTGACTGCTGACTGGGTGGGTAAATCCCAGGATTTCAGCTCCTCCATCCTTGGTCCTGAGTTTGAGTGGTGGGAGGGGTGGAGGATCTCAGGAATCATGAAGATGGAGAAAGAGGAGGAGGCTATAGAGCAGAGGAGGGTAACCAGCCTCTTTGAGGGGAGGAATTTTGGGGAGTGGAGAGGGCCAGATGGGAATCCCCCATCATCAGAGCAAGAGGGGGGCTCACAGCCCTCCAGACAGTCCTCTTTACAGCTGGGAAAAACTGAGGCTCAGAGAGGCGTCGCAGGGAGTGAGGGCGGGGATACAGCTGGGGCAGTGGCTGTTGCCCCTGGGAGGCTCCGAGATCACCCACCTTGTACAGTGGGCCGTCGGGGCCCCCGCCCTCGGCCTGCACCACCACGTAGGCGTGCAGGAAGTTGGACGCGATCATGTCTGGCACAAAGGGCGTGTTCTCGTCCTGGAAGACCACAGCCACGATGTCGTTCCCAATGTGCCGCTTCCGCTGCAACTGAGCACAGGGCCACAGCCTTTACCATCTGGACAGGGAGGGGCCCACTGGGCGAGGGGAGGGTGCCCGCAGGGGTGTGGGAGGGCTTAGGGTAGGCAGAGGGCACACCTAAAGAGTTGCTTCCCCCCTAACAAATGTGGTGAGAAACTTGTCTTAAAATCATTTTCGTTTTCTTAGCATCCTATGATAGACGAGAAAACTGAGGCCAAGAGAAAAGTGCCCTGCAAGGCCCTACCATGAGTTAGGGGACTTGAACCCAAGGCTCTTGGTCCCCAGGCCCTACCTCGCGGCCCTCCTCCTGCCTAAATACCCCGAACACTGCCCCTCTCAAACAAACAAGTTCCAGTCAGTATATATTTATGTTGCTGAAGTGAACAGAGGATCTTATTAAAAGGAAATTAAAAGACACCAAAAATAAGAAATAAACATTTCCATTTTTCTCACATTATCCCTACTACCCTTCGGATGGGGGCATGGGTAAGGTAGACAGCCCCGCAGGAAGCTTAGGACAAGGTGACACATTTCCGAGTTCAGCTCCGGGAACATGCCCTGTGCTCCCTCATCTCCAGGCCTTCGAGGAAGGTGGAAGCCATTCTTTCCCCTGGAACATTCCGCCTCCCTCTCCCACCTCCTCTGCAGCCTAAAAATCACTTTATCTTGAAAGCTTTGCCTGACTCCCACCTCTGCCAAGTCTAAGCATCTCCATATGACCCCACGATACCCTTCACTCCCTGTGAAAATACTCACATTTACTGATCTCCTGTCCTTTATCAGATACTGTTCTAGCCACTCTGTGTGCATCCTCTCATTTCTGCTCACGTATGAGGTAGGTGTCATTACTATCCCCATTTCCACAGATGTGGAAATTGAGGTTTTCACAACATCGCAGCAGCTTGTCACCCTGCCCCAACTAGAGTCCACAAGTGGAGGGACTGGATCATTTCCATCTCTCTATCCCAGGGCCCACTGAGCCTGGTGAGCGGATGCTGAAAGGACGGGTAAATCGGGGGACAGGAGGACAGGTGGGAAGCAGGTGGGTGGGTGCCCAGGCTACCTGCTGGGCGTCCCTTCTGTGTAGGGCAGCTTGGTGGACACGTGAAACATGATCTCCTTGTTGCGGAAGTTGCAGTACACAGACTCGGTCCCCGTCTGCCCGTGGGTCACGTCCAGGCCTCCTCGGAACCTGCCCCAGGCCCCCCAGGCCACGGCTCAGTCTCCAGCCCCAGCCAGGCCTCCATGGGGCCAGGGTGGGGGCTCCCTCCCTGCCCACGGGCATGAGTCAGATTATCCTCAGCTTATCCCACCCCAATACTCACCCCTTAAAGTCCTGCAGTTTGACCTTCTGGCCAAGAAATTCGAGGAACTCCACGAAGGCGGGGCTCTCCTCGTTGGTGCTGAAGAGTTCTTCCTCAGAGGTCTGGGGACACACAGAGGGCAGAGGTCATCGAGCTGGAGCTCCTAGCCCTACTCACACCCAGGAAGGCTGGAAGGGGGACCTCTGGCAGCCCCTGAGCTCCTGGGGTTCTGAGTCCCTGGGCAGGTGCTCTCCCTGGCAAGGGTCGGAGGTCCCAGGTACACAGCCTGATGGGTGGGGGGCAAGGAGCACACCTGCCCGAGCTTCTGATAAATGACTCCGAACTTGAAGTTATTGCTGATGACATGCTCGTCAAAGGTGACGATGAGGCGAGAAGCCTGCGGGGAGAGGATGATGGGTGAAATACACTGCTTTCTCCAGTTGCCATTTATCGCTCTATGTGCCAAGCACTGTGCCAGGCACTCCACATGCATCATCTCATTTGCTCCTCAGAACAAGCCCATGAGGGAGGCCCTTCTACTGCCCCCATTTCACAGATGAAGCAGCCAAGGCTCCGAGAGGTTATACAATTACTTGCCTAAGGTCAACAGCTGGCCAATGGCAGAG